TGGTGCTATGCTTAGTGATCTGTTAGATCCGCCTGTTTGTCTGTTGGTTGGTTATTGTTTAGTTGTATATATGTCGTCGTGGTGTGGGTGGGTTGAGACTGTACTACTTTGTGCTGTCAGTCAACAAACCCGTTAATGTTTATATCGATATGGTATTATGGTTTACTAGGCTTATATGTGTTTTGATATGGTATATGTTGATATGTGATGGTGTGTTGGGATGAGGCGGTCCTGCTGTGTGCTGAAGGCCAAGAGACCCAGGGCAGCCCAGATAGACTGCATGTTAGAGGGTCGTACCAGTCAGGCCGAAGGTTGGGAGTACGGTCCAGATAGGATGAAGGCCCGGTAAGGCGGTCCAGTCATGCTGAAGGTTCTGTGAGTGGTCCAGATAGTCTATAGGACGGTGTGGCGTTCCAGTCAGGCTGAAGGCTCTGTATGCATATTGTTTGTTGGTATATGTTATATGTTTGTGTGGTGGTACTTTGGGAAAAACTCACTGTAAAATCCCAAATTTCGAGTCCAAAAATTTCATTTTAATTAACGGATTATAAAACATTCATAAGAAAACTGCATAACAATATATCATTTTGTGAATCAATGTATCATGTCTGAAAACCCAAAACATATAATAGCAACATGTCAGAGTACAATCCCAGAATATCTCAAGTGCGGAAAATCAATGCGTGTGTGTATGATGTGACGCTGACGCTACCGCGCCAGCTCTTTCCCCTTCGCTGAAGAGGTACCTGAAACCAAAACTGTAAACTGTAAGCACGAAGCTTAGTGAGTTCCCCCCATCGCACCACACATATACAATACATACTGTCAGGCAGTTCTGGGGTGCCTGACTACCCAGGTCAAGCCATTCTGGGGTGCTTGACTTACCCAGGTCAAGCCATTCTTGGGTGCTTGACGTACCCAGGTTAAGCCATTCTGGGGTGGTTGACTTACACGTCGGTCTGTTTCACCCGACTATCGGGGACTATTTCACCCCCTACCACTACCACATAACACACATATACTGTCAGGCAATTCTGGGGTGCCTGACTACCCAGGTCAAGCCATTCTGGGGTGCTTGACTTACCCAGGTCAAGCCATTCTTGGGTGCTTGACGTACCCAGGTTAAGCCATTCTGGGGTGCTTGACTTACCCGTCAGTCTGTTTCACCCGACTACCGGGGACTATTTCACCCCTACCACTACCACATAACACACATATACTGCCAGGCAATTCTGGGGTGCCTGACTACCCAGGTCAAGCCATTCTGGGGTGCTTGACTTACCCGTCGGTCCTTACGACCGACATCCGAGGACTATTTCACCTCCTACTACTACTACCACATAATATCATAGCATGAACATACTGTCAGAAAATTCTGGGGTGCCCGACCTACCCTTCGGTCCTAACGACCGAACTTGGGGACTATTCTCCCCCTACTAACACTATCACATATAACATATAACATATCATGCTAGCACATAAACATATCAGGTAGTAGCAACCCTAGATGAATGTCACAAAGACAATCATCTAACATACAACTCCTACTGGTGGGCCGACATTGTGGTCGTAGACCCATCGCTACTGAAAGGTAACTCACCTCAAACGAGTAGCTGCTGATAATCTGTGCGGGGAATCCCTGACTGATGTTGCTCCGGAAATCCTCCGGCTATAATTCCCACAAAACACTTAATCAGAATCTGATATCTACCCCTTAGGGTAAAATGACTATTTTACCCCAGACCAAGTCCAAGTCAAAGTTAAAAGTCAACTTCCAGTTGACCCGACTCGCCGAGTTGGGTCGTCAACTCGTCGAGTCGCTATTTCTTTAACTGTCCTCATCCACATCCATACTCGTCGAGTTTAGCAACGACTCGACGAGTTCTCCTTCTAACACAACCTCGGATGAACCTTCTTCCGACTCGCCGAGCGGTATGAACACTCGCCGAGTCCATCTTCATCCTAAGAACACGTCCTGTCCTCGACTCGCCGAGTTGTATGAACAACTCGTCGAGTTCATCTTCAAGAGTTGGGAGATTGCCTTGGACTCCCCGAGTCTGCTCGTGCACTCGTCGAGTCCTATGAACTTCAGGACTGTGGCTTATCCCAATACGTTTGGGTCACTCCCTTGGACCTTCTAAAACCTTTCTTTCACTCAACTGGTTCCCATGGACCATAACAGAAAAAGGGGAGTCTAACCTTGGACTCGCCGAGTCCCAAGAACGACTCGCCGAGTCGATGCAGTCTAAGTCTTATTTCTTCGATTTCTGGAGTGCAACTCTTGTCCAAATGATAGATCTAGGTCCTTAAACTCAATCTAGCACGTAAAGTTATAAACTTTACGTGCATGCATGGGACTTTGAGCCTAAAATGCCCAAAAAGAAGCTCTTAAGAAGCATATGACCTTCCATGGGTGCAAAAGCAACCCCTAACTGCCTTGTGACCCTTCCATGGACCTAGATCCGAAGCTTCAACCCCGAACCATGCTTGCAATCATGGTTGGTTACCAAAAATGGCTTATAAAAGCCCTAAATCTCCCCCAAAAGGGATCTAACAAAAGAACAAGCAAGGTATAGACTTTATACCTTCTGAGAACAGCAAATGATGCACCAAACTCGAATCCTTCAGTCTCCTCTTGATCCTTCTATGCTCTTCCTTCTTCCTTGTGATCAAAATCCACAAAATCACTCAAAAGCCTTGAATCTTGCACCAAAACACTTAGGGTTTGCTAGGGAGGGTTTCTGGGAGCACTAGGGACGAGTGGGGGCTGAATGAAATGATTAAATAGGGTGCAAACCCTCAGATTAGGGTTTTTGTCCAGACAGAGCCTACTCGTCGAGTCCAGGATCCGACTCGACGAGTCCCATACTTAAACCCCGCGTTCTATCCCGCTTCTACTCGGCGAGTTGGGCCATCAACTCACCGAGTCCCAGGCCAAAAATGTAAAATTACATAAATGAAATACATACCAGGAACCAGGTGCTACACTCACTAAGCTTTGTGCTTATAGTTTTTTTTTTGGTTTATGGTTTCAGGTACTTCAGAGAATTGTAGCAAGGCGAAGGCATGCCCGTGCACATCCTGATTTTATGTCATTGATCTTGGAAGACAAACATTTTAATTAAAGTTTTGGAAATAATGATTATGTAAACACATTTATTAATAAATGGGTAGTTTTGAAAAGTTTAAATTTGTTATAAATCTTGGGATGCTACAGTATGAAAAACCCAGAGGTGGCTCTTGGCAAATCAGTATTCAAGACCAGGGTTCGGACCCTGGCAGTTATGTAGATAGTTAGATGTAGATTGTATGCTAGTTGTCTTTATGATGTTTACATGGAAGACCAGGAGGTGGCTCCTGGCACTTGTCTGTAAGACCCAGAGTTTTGGCCCCCGGCCTGGCAAGAAAGACCATGATACGGCTCGTGGCATAATGGCAAGACTATGGTTGGCACATAGCACCTCCTATTGCATGTTTGATATGTATGATATGTATGACTCGTATGTTATGAATGGTATGTGGTATTTTGGGGAACTCAATAAGCTTTGTGCTTATAGTTGTTGTTTATGGTTTCTGGTACTTTCGGTTCGAAAGAGAAGGGCCCGGCTTGATCGCAGTGCATACACCCATGTTTTTCCGCAACTGTGTGATATTGGGATTGTACTCTGATAACTGTTTTATTATAAAATACTTCTAAGTGTTTAAAATTTTCATGATTTTTATAGGTGTTACACATACACACACACACACACACACTCTCTCTCTCTCTCTCTCTCTCTCTCTCTCTCTCTCTCTCTCTCCTCAGCCGATCACTCTGATCATGTGAACCACGTAAATTGATTGTGTTCTTGTTTTTTTTTTTTTTCACATTTGCATTGTTACTTTATGTGGAATCGTAGAATTGTTTGTTAAAGTAGTCTAAAACCTAACATTATGCTTATTTCTTTATTAGTAACCCACATCCCTTTAAACGTTTTCTTATCAATGGGTGACTAGTCGAAAGAAGAAGACCATTCGATTCATGGATCATTTATTGTTGTAATCCTATTTTAGAATGTAATTATTGTTTGGAATTCTGTCTACATCCTTAGCTTTTTGTCGGTTGTTCGTTTTCTTTTTAATAAAACTAACACAAAAAATAAATCCCTAAATAAAAAGATTTTCTTTTTTGAAACGAGACAACATAAAAGCCCATAAAACGAGAAAACATAAAAGCCGATCTGCATATTTAGGCCAAACAATTAAGCCAAGTTGCCGTAGGTTGTTTTCGTATCATCTAGAATTTCATGTAGATTGTGTGTAGTAACCATTTAAAGAAGAGTCAATTCCTTTTACGCTTATCATGCTTTTGCGAATCTATAAATTTATTGTTTATCTACTTGATATGATCCATATTAACATAAACATTTTCTTTATCTTTTGTTAGCATTAGAAGCAAAAATGAGATTAATGATATACTAAAATTTGGTTCAAACAAAATAAAAGTAAAATTAAGTATTTATAGTGGAAAGTAAGTTGTTAAAAGAATGTTTACCAAAAATAGCAAGAAAAAGTTGATAGTCGCATATTAATTGACATGATTAAGATTATTGAAGCACCAGAACATGAAAAGTTAATATAGTGGATTGGTCCTCTTAGTGACTAATAATGTAATTAAATCTTTAAAAAGTTAAAGATATTATGCTTTTTGGAAACAATTCAAAATGAAATCTTTTATTCACGGAATAATTAAGTGTTAGATTTGAAAATTTCCGAAATTGGGAGTCGTGTGGAGAAGTTCTCATAAAGTATGCACTTGACACCCCCTTAAGTCCTTTAACAAAATCCATCATACAACGGCTACTTTTACACGTTCAACCTCAGTCAAAATTTGAAATCTTTGTTGCTTAGCACTCTTTTCAATTTAAAAACAAACAACAATCGGGTTTCTCGTTCACTGAACCCTTTTCCCACTTATCCCTCTTTCATCTCTATCTCTCTCTTCCCAATCTGAAACAAAAATGGGTGCTTGTTGCAGCAAGACGAATCCAATCTCTTCTACGCCTACCCCACTCGAAGTCAAAATCAAACCTAACCTTCAACAACAACCGGAGAAGAAAACCCAAGCTTCCGTCGCCATTGTTGCTACAGCTAAAGAGCAAGAAGTTCCCAAGAAGGAGGCTTTTGTCGTCAAACATCGGAAGAGTCATGAAATTGATCGACACCCAGATCAAGAAACTCGCAAATCGATGGACAGGAAGAAAACCCCTATTTCCAGTCCGACCACCGACGTTTCTCAATCGGCCGCGGTTGTTGTTAATGGTGAATCGGGGAAAGCGGTGGGTGCAACTGTGAGAACGTCGAGTTGTACTAAAGAAGAGGTGGATGCGATTCTGATACAGTGTGGGGAGGCTTAGCCGGAGCTCCTCCGGCGTAAAAGGTGGGGAAACTCCTACACGCGGCAGGAGGTATTCCGGGTCGAAGAGGAGTTTTGATTTTGATATGGAAATGGGTTCGAAGAATGAGGAAGATGAAGTTATCGTCGAGGGTGATAACCATAGGCGTCGGCCGCAGCGGGAGCATCGGGTTTCATCTCCGTCGTCCCGGAGGAGGAGTAGGGAAAGAGATCCACAACAACAAAGATCTGGGAGTAAAGAAAGAGGAAGTGGGAGTGGCAATGGCGGTGGAAGGAGAGTAAGCAGATCCCCAAATAGAAGATCTGAATCACCGAATCCTAACTCCAGTGGCAGCAACGGGAATGTCGCCGCCGGTGGTAATAGCAATAGGCCGGGAAAGATGGTCTCGGTCCCTGCCACCGATAAAAGCAACAACCCTGGTGGCGTAGAGGTGGTTGCCGGTGGAGTGAAGAAGATTCAAGTGAAGCGAAACGCCGGCGAAGCTTTGGGTTCCCGGACTGCAGCATCTCCACGTTCTAAATCTCCGGCGAGGGCAAACCTTCGTGTCTTGAATGAGAATCAGAATCAGCAGCCATTGACACTGAGTCGAAGCAATTCAAGGAAGGCAGAGCATTCTCCTTACAGAAGGAATCCGCTGGCTGAGATCGATACAAACGCTGCTGGATCCGATCAACCAAAACACCAAAGTAAGTCTTTCCCCCTCAAATAACTTGATTTTATCTGCAAGATTTCATGATTCCTAAACACGTTGTGTATTTTTCCAGGCTCAATTGCAGAAACCAAATGTGGAGAAGACGATGAATAACAAAACCACCACCGTTGTCGTTACCAAAAACACCATAGCCAAAGAATACCAGGTGATCGACGAGGCTAAAATTGCAGTCGAAAATCTGAAAAACAATCAACTCGTAACAAGAACACGATCTTCAAGGCTATCTCGAGACCTAGATATAAACCCAGAAACTCTACTAAACTCCAACCCACCATCCTACGCTAGTTTATTACTAGAGGACATCCAAAACTTCCACCAAAAAAACCCCACCACCACCACCGCCACCGCCACCACGGTGGCTACAACACCACAACCACCGGGTTTTTCCCTTCCAGCCTGTGTCAGCAAGGCGTGCTCCATTCTTGAAGCTGTAGCGGATCTCAACTCTGCTAATAACTCCAACGAACGTCAATTCAAGAAGAAAGACAACCTTGTGGAGTCGGAGATGGTGGTTGATGATGATCTGACGGAGCCAAGTCTGCACAAATATGTGACTGTGAGGAGAGGTGCAGGTGATGCAGATGCTGACGAACAGGAATCATCAGGGAGCAATAGTTTTGCTGGAAGTCAGCAGATGAGTTGGATGTCATCTTCTTGGGAGCCAAATTCAGGTGATTCCACAAGTTGCTATACTTCTTCAAGGTCGAATGAAGTTCAGAAAAGTGGAGAGTATCCTAGGAGTGGAATAGGACGTGGGAGAGTAGGTGTTCATGGTAGAAGTGCTTATTCATTGCCGAATTAATGTGTTGGACATAATTTTGGATTCTGGTTTCAGTTAGATCACATTTCTTTTGTTTGTTGCATACTTGCAACTGTGTCTGTAAGTCGATAGAATGTATTTGATTCTTCTTTAATCTTCAAGAAGCTTGCGTTAGTACTTATGATTTATGAACTTATACTTTGTGCTGTTGCTTATGGTGAAAAATTGGTCCATGTGGTCCTAGCAAAAGCTGGGTTCACTTTGATCCCTGTGGACCTCTGGTTCATTTGACACGAGCAATTGGTCCAGCCCAAATGAAAGAGAACATAACTTACTGGTTTTGATGACTCCCTATCAACTTTCTTTATTCGTTTCATCTTCAAGTGAAAGAGACACCAACACCCACCAAACATGGACTAATCCGTCATCCAAAGTAGTAATGGCTTGATGCTAATGCCAAATAAGCATTGTTGTAATAGGAAATACATTATAGACAACAAGAAACAAACATATTATGAAATCTAACACCAAGATTTACACCGATAACCCAAAATAGGGAAAATCCAAAAATCGACTATGGACTAGAGTATGAGATAGATCACCTAGTGAAATAATGAAGTAGGATGCAAGAAATTGAAAAATACAAAGCATTGATAATGGTTCTTACTGCAGAAACTACATGTATACTGATAATTCTTTTATTCTTTATGTTGTTTCTTATCTATTTTTTTGAAAGGAACTCAAAAGAAGGGTAGGGGTCATATTATGAAATCTAGGACATGGAAATATTGTTAATGAGAATGCTGCTTTAATTCTTTTATTTATTAACTTTGTATACCGGTAATAAATTGTAATATTATCATTTGTTTTGTTTTGTAGTCTTCCCTACAAGTCGTTGCAAGTGAGTCAACAAATATACAAGGGATCGAACAAGTGTATTCAAATGATGACCAGTTACGGGTCTAGATAAAAAATGGTACATTCGAGGAAGGATGCCACCAGTAAAAGACAAAGGTGATTCATGTTCTAATGATTCAAAAATTGTTCAACAACTAAAGGACGGGTTAGCTTGTACACAAAGTGCATTGACTGTTCTTTTCAACCTCATTAAGGATCATATTTCAAATGCAAACTTACCTCGAGTGCTTAATAATTTGAACTTAGAGGTAATTGCATGAATATTAATGTTTCTTCTAGTATCACACCATATATTAGCGACAATCTTACTATGCATTTCTTTCGAAATAATTTTTTTATGGTTGTTAATAACTCTCCTTTAGGAAATCGAAGATCATCATCTAAAAATCATCATAACAATGGTAATTACTCTAAGCTCAAATAACCAGGTGCTTCATGCTTCTTTTTATGTGTCATGTTAATTAGTGATATTCTTAAATGTTTTATGTGATGTATTATGGTTATATGATATACAATTGTTCGCAAGTTGGATAAATCAGATGGATAATTATGCAAAGTTCGAGGTCTATCAAGTTTCATGTTTTTTCACAAAGTAGTTAGTTTGATAGTTTTATGTTTTGAGTGTTACTGACACTACATCTAGACTTATTACTTTTTTTTTTTTAATTTTTAATTTTTTTTAATTTTTGTGTTTTAAATATTAAGAATATTATTGTCAAACAAGTTAAATTTGAATTTAAGTAATGATATTGTTTTGTCCATTTATTAGCTTAATTGCTTTTTTATTAGATTGTATTATATTTAAATTTAAAAAATCAGATCAAATTTTTTAATATAATATTTTTGGTGAAAAAAATGTGCCACTAAAAGCATGGAAAATTTATTTATATTAGCAACTATATTAGTGGCATAAAAGAAATGCCACTGAAACATAATATTGTTACAGTGACATACTAAAAAGAACAAATTACGCGAATGATCCTTTAGGTTTTGGATTTTTCCCTAATGTAGTCCCTACGGTACTTTTGTCCCTCAAATAGTACCTACGGACCATAAGTTGCACGCGTTTGGTCCCCGAGTTGGATGTCCGTCCATTATAACGTTAAGTTGCCCCCATGTGACTTGCACATGAGGGTATTTATGCCATTTTAGCCTAAAGGACCTTTTTCTGAACATATAAATTAACGCCTATATTACTTCTTCTTGTTCTTCCTCCCAATTCAATCGATCACTACTACTATTAGAGAAAGAAAGCTGTGGAAAATGTCGATATGTGCTTGTGGAAATCGTGATATAGCCATCGTCACTTCATGGTCAGATCGCAACCCTGGAAGGCGATTTTGGTCTTGTCTTCGTAATGAGAGAAGGTGTGGTTGGATTGGGTGGTTTGATGAGCCCATGTGCCCTAGATCGGTGGAAGTGATACCTGGGTTAATCAGGTCTATGAACAAGCTCCAAGAATCTCTTCAACAAGCTACAATGCAAGCTAGGATGTATAAGTTAATCATTCTCTTTAGTTGGGGTCTTTTTGCAATTCGTTACTTGAAGCATGGTTGAAGTTGCCTCTGAATGTGGTGTTTGAATGCAAGAAGTAGTGTCGTAGTCATAGGGTTAATGTACTGGTGGTTTTATTTTGAGTCTGAAGACAGGAAATTGTAGCATGGTTTATGTAGTGTTTGTGTCTGTTTTGAGTTTGACTGTAGGAAATTATGTTCTGGTTAATGTTGTCTTAATGTTATAGTCTTTGTGTAATCAAATGGTTTAATTTCAGAACAAGGTTATTGTGTCATGGCTTTGTGTAATCAAATATTATTTGACAAGAACACCAATTCAACATGCATGACCATACACTTTGAATATCACACAAAGTTAATCATGCAAGCTCCAAGAATCTCTTCAACAAGCTACAATGCAAGCTAGGATGTATAAGTTAATCATTCTCTTTAGTTGGGGTCTTTTTGCAATTCGTTACTTGAAGCATGGTTGAAGTTGCCTCTGAATGTGGTGTTTGAATGCAAGAAGTAGTGTCGTAGTCATAGGGTTAATGTACTGGTGGTTTTATTTTGAGTCTGAAGACAGGAAATTGTAGCATGGTTTATGTAGTGTTTGTGTCTGTTTTGAGTTTGACTGTAGGAAATTATGTTCTGGTTAATGTTGTCTTAATGTTATAGTCTTTGTGTAATCAAATGGTTTAATTTCAGAACAAGGTTATTGTGTCATGGCTTTGTGTAATCAAATATTATTTGACAAGAACACCAATTCAACATGCATGACCATACACTTTGAATATCACAAATACTACTTGACAAGAGCAACAATATAACAAAAATGCTATTGTATATCACAACAGCAGTTGACATTGTTTCATAGTTTACCTATGTGTACAATGATTCAAGGTCAACATGCATGACCATACAAAATAAGGAGCCCAAAGTAAGTATTGTTTGGTACATAAACATAGGTGTTAACATAACCATAAAAGTAAAGTCCAAATTACATCAAAAGACCTAATGGTTCTCAACAACACCCCCATCCTCACTTCTATCCTCATGTTTCTTCAGTTCTTTTGTCATTAGGGCCACCTTGATCTTTACAAGTTCTTGAATTATGCCCTTTGTTGTTGCACTTTCCACATGTGACAGTGGTCCACTTCTTGGGCAGTTTATGCCCCTGTGTAGCAGGTTCATCATATGCCCTCTTCCTTTACTTCTTGGGCCTGCCCACCTACAAATGTACATAAGATTAAATTGTTGTTCTTCAGAAACTGCAGTTATATTGATATATGAAGACATACCTGAACAACATGTTTGGGTGGAAGCAACTTGGTTGGGCATTGTGATTTGGGCCACATCAATCTACCATTTATAGGTTCAATTTTGTGTTTGTACACTTCTGCCCATGTAACTAGCCAGTAGCATGGGTGGACCCAATGCTCCAACTCAGGAACATTCTTTGCTCCATGTTTAATCTTGTCCCATATTGCACTTATTGCATGTGAGCATAACATGCCTGTAATTTCCCAATGTATACATGTGCATGTTTTTTCATCCAAATTCACAATAAACTGATCACCCCAATGAGTAGTGACTTGAGTTTTAACCCCATTGAAAATACACATGTGCTTTTGTGCTTGTCTTTTCATTTGATCAAGAAGACTAGTAGCAGTTGGTGTGAGAGGACCATGACATCTATCAATCTCTCTTTGGACATTGCAAATTCTCTTTATCAAATACTCTATAATATACTCCAAACGATAAATGATAGGTTTATCCCTACCACCTTGTATTTTTCCATTCAGAACCTCACACAGGTTATTCAACAAGATGTTAGTATGTGCCCTCCCTGTTTAGTCATATAATACAAAATGAGAACAAATCCTAACAATGACAAGTAAATGTTAACATAAATGAAAGATGAAGTACTAACCTGAGAAATGAGATCTTGCCCAATGAGCTGGAGGAATCTGTATCAGCCAATCATGAGCTTCAGCTTTGAATTTCTTTAGCTTTTCTAATGCTTTCTCAAAATGCCTTACAGTAGTAGCAGTTACACATGCCCACACCAAATCTTTGAGCTTTTTATCCTTCCACCGTCTTTTCATATTTTCATAAATATGCCTCAGACAGAACCTATGCTCAGCTTGAGGGAAAAGTTTGGCAATTGCAGGAATGATACCCTATTTAAATATTTCAATACTTAGTTGACTAAATAACAACAATATCAAATTAAATTGAAGTATATGTACCTTCTGCCTATCTGAGATGAAAGTGAAGTTTGAATTAGCATAAAGTTCCAGATCATCACCAAGTTGCTCCAAAAACCATGTCCATGAATTTGTGGTTTCATTCTCAACAAGAGCATATGTAAGAGGATATATCCCATTATTGGAATCTACCCCTACGACAGTCAAAATTTGACCAGGATAGGGACCTTTCATGAAAGTACCATCTAACCCTATGAAATCCCTTAGATTAGCCTTAAATCCTTCCTTTAATGCTCCTAAACAAATGTAAAGTCTCCTAAACGTCCTTGTATCAGAATTTAAATTTGGCTCAGTGTGACAATCAATCTTCACATTAGTACCTGGGTTTCTTTCCATCAACTCTAGTCCATAGTCCCTCAAA